AACCAATTCATATTCCATGTGCACTCATTAATTATCTCCTCTCCTTCCAGAAATTACCATGTTTGCCAAATGAGATGAGCTAGTGCTCATTATATTCCAGAACATCACCACTGAGCAATGACGTCTTTCAGATACCCACTAGTAGTTAAACCAGGCTTTTTGTTTTCAACCTATTGCATAAGTTATTCTCTAAACCATTCATCTTTCTCAACAATTTCTTTCTGGCTATAACCAAGATCCTAAGTTTTTATGAACAATTTTTTTTCCCTGAAGTTAACACAGCAAAAGCCAGCAGCATTACAGTAGGAATTATTTTTTATGCAATACATTCAGGAGTATAAGGCATATCATTGCGTTCTAGGCACATTCTCCATTTCTTTCTGCATCATATTGTATCATCTATGCATTCAGACCAGTATGCAATGCAAGACAGAATTCCAACAGTAGATGTAAATAATTTAAGAAAGTTTGTAACTCCTCAGGGAGATTTACTCACAGATCACCTGTTCACAGAGTTTAAATGGATGTCAGAAGAGCTCCAGGATTATTACAGACCAACGATGGGAAGGGTTACAACAAAGTATCAGTATTCTTACAGCCTAGAACTGAAAGTGGCTTTGATTTTGGATACATTAACAAACTGCAAAAGGATTGGTCTAAATCCGCCAGTGGAGGAATGTAGCTTGATTGCATCATGTACTGGGACGCTGCTGCAGTTGGATCCAGAAAGAATGACGCATCACTGCCTGACATAGCTCTGATAATAGATAAGTAAACTGTAGGACTGCCAAATGAAGAGGTCAAAAAAAAATCCCAACAAAAACAAAAGAGCTGATAAAGCAAATTACACCAACAGAATTTGCAGTGCAACATGAACAAAAGAAACCCAAACAAACCCCATTCCTATTACTGATGGGATGCCCCTGTGTCCTACATGGCATCACTGCAAATGGATTCTACAGAGAGTGAGAACGACACAAGACCACAGTTCTGCAGTAAGAGCAGCCCACGCAGAATATCTCCACTTGCCAGCTGAGAAACCTTGACCTACTGGCCATGTGTCTCCATTTCTACCCCCCTGATTCACTAAATCAGTCATGCCTTAAGGTAGATCGCAGTCATGGGTGACAAAACCCAAACCTTTTCTGTTTGCAACAATCCTTGTATTTTCCTCCCAAAGGCAAAGCATGCTAAGGACATTCTTTCTATGTCCAGAGGCCAACAGCCTGTCACTCTCTTTACACAATGCACCACATGTATCTAGGACATAGAAAGGATTATTTAAAACTCTAAAGGAGATATTTATACCCAGTACACTTCCAAAATAAGGATGGCAAGTTGCTGAAATAACTTATTTAAAACTTTTTCTCAAGTACAGAGTGATAGAATTAGAGTAAAATCATCTAGAAGGGGTTGGAAACACTTTCTCATGAAGTCTTAAACATCACTTCGAGTGACATTAACTTGAGCTACACGTCCCATCGGAGAGCAAGTGTTAGCAAAGTAAATGCATTAGTTAAAGCTTAATAGTAGTTTGGTGTTCAATATCCTGAAATATTTAATATGTTTTTTTCCCAAAGTAAACTGTTATTCAGTTTTAATGAAGACATTAACCTGCTTGATTTGTAAGCTCCTGTGGGAAGTCAGTCTAAAACACTGTCACAAGAGGTAGGCAGATGTAACAGGAGCTGTGACAGGAAATCAAGCATATTTTAAATGTTAAAAAAGCAGCCAGACAATAAGTCTCAATATGCTCTTGTTTTCTTTTAGTTTTGTTTATTTTTTGGTAATATGATTTCTGCCCTTTAAAAGATGCCAATTAAGGCTGGCTGTAACGTAGTCTGAAGGTAACTGTGGGTACTGAAATCTACGTGAGTCCTCACCAACTATGCTGTAAACAAGAAGTGGTAGGATACAGACTAAAAAAAAAAAGAGTTTGGGTCAGATTCTGAACTTCAAGACACTTGCAGGCTCCAGCATTGTAGGATGACAGCTTTAAACTGGAATCCACTATAACACTTTTAGTCACAGTTTGAATTTTCCAGACTGACTTTGAATACAGTCTACACTTCATGGGAACAGCCGGTCTTGTGAGTTTTCAGCTTGAAATGATACTGATATAACAAGATGAGCAAAAATGGTGAGACCCCAAGCAATTAAGGTGGGTGTGTACTCTTCCTGAAATGCATATTGGTGGTTTGACAAGGGAGACAAGCTGGCTGCTTTGTTTCACAGTAGCTGTGTTTAGTTCATGCTGTCAAGCGTGGATTCTGACACTTAACAGTATTAATATTGCTATTTCTATTGATATAATTAGCACTTCTATAAATAATAGCTAAGGCTGCCATAGCTAAGTATATTACTGCAATCAGCACCATCAGGCCCTTCTTCGTTACACACCCTCCTGGAAATGCAAGCTGATTGATCTCAACAAGAAGACAGCCACTGAGCAACGCTGTTGATTCTAGCGGCCCAGCGAGGAGCAGCTCCCACCACGTAGAAGTCTCTCCTAAACAACTAGTTTGTATGTGTGAGACTAACATTTCTCACCAGTCTTGCACCTGCCAACGTTTGAATGCTATAAATAGGGACTCTTCTTTTCAGCCACACGATTAAAAAACCCTCACATTGCGTTCAGTGGGTGTTATTCATACACTACAATGGGGGAGAAGTCCTACAAATTGTTTTGGAGACAATCTGGAACCCACATTGAAACTCCACCTAAACAGCACAAAGATTTCATTTATTTACTTTACAGTTATGAAACAGAAAACTGCTTAACCAAACAGATATTACAGCTTTTAACAGAAGAACAGCAGCACCTGGCATTTCAATCCCTAATTTCATTCTGGTACATTTAAAAATAGAGAAGAATGACAGGTTTTCTAGAGGCCCAAACTTCATGCACTTCCAACCTGTTTCCCAGAACTTTGCCCTGTTTTTGCTGCACCTAAAAGCTGTAACTTCTACACGAGTTTTGACAGTGTTTAATATCTACCTTGAGGTACTTATGCTTAATGACTGCAACTTATAACCAGCACCAGTGGGAGAGGGAAGTGTACAGAACCAGTGGTGGTGGAAATAAAGCCTCAGGGTCTCAAAAGATGCATACAAAAATACAAGCAGTTAAAAATTATCACCAGTTTTGGAAACAGTGGGTATTTTCTGCTTTCTTCATCTTCCATAAAGTGATGTGGGTAAACACTGCACAAAGCTATTCTGAAGGCCAATATTTACAGTGTCTGGAAATAGAAAGTGTTATGTATAAGAAAAGCAGCCTCGATGTCTGACTGGAGTTTGCTACAAAAATGCTTTAAAACTTCCGTTTTCTTAAGCTTTAGTCAAACAGATATGCCAAAAGTCATATGGGAAGTTAGGCAATTTGTGTGCACAATTACTGTTGGGTGGGAGGCGCACATTTATGAATCCTGGAAGTTCTTCCAAAAACAGTGCTTGCTAGCTGCAGTACTTGAAAACTTAAAATGGTAGAGAGGAGACTACAATTCCAAAGAAGCTTTGAACTGTACTACTAATACAGCTCACTTTGTATGAGGCCAAAGCACTCAGAGAGCACTATGTCTTTCAGCAGTATCAATGCCAAAATCATTCCTGTATAATTCCACTGATGTCACTTCAGTTATTTCAAAGAGGAAATTCATGTCTAAGCCACCTTCTGTTTTCTGATGTAAACCCAGAATAACTGCACCAAAGTTTATAAAACTACTGACACTGGCATTTATTGTCAACCAAACAGCCAATGGAAAAATTGGCACCTCCCATCTGAAATTATTACTTTAGATATTATTTATAACCCTGATGGCTGCATTTTGGAATTCTCCACATACATACCTTTGCAAATATTCGTGATGACAAGCACATGGTATTATTCCTGTTGCACAGATAGGAAACAAAGAGTGAGCAATTTTTCCCTAAAGTCAAATATGCTATTCGTGGCAGAGAACTTCATGAGGCCCAAGTCTTAAACCAGGAACCCAGACCAGTAAACAAGTACTCAGTCTTCAATATGCTTTCCAGAAAATATAAGAAGCAATAACTAGCTTGGACCCCATATTGGATTTAAAAAATAGGAAATGATGAAGGAATAATTATTTCTTTGAATAAGCTAAGAGTCAAAATCAGAACTTTCTCTTACAAGGAAATTTGATAACAAAATATCTTATTCTGATATTCCTTGAGGCATCTTTCATTAATATACGGGAAAATAAGAGTATAATCTGAGATCCATTTATATCAGTAAGCACAAAATGATCTACACACCAAAATCTTTTTCTTTCCTGCTCACCCTACTCAAGCCACAAAATGGGACTTCCCAATGCAACACAGACCTTCCAAATCACCTCTGGTTGTGAAAACTAGTCAATGGCAACTATTTTCTTCTGTTTCAGATATGCTCAATGATTTTTCTCAGTGAATGAAAATTAAATTACTGCTCATGAAAATTAAAGAACTGAATTTTGACTTGCTTGGGTTGCTCTGATACCCAAGATCAAGGGTCAGCACGCCTGCGTAAGGGTAAACAAGCAAAGTTTACTAATAGCTGCCAATTTCAGACACTGTATTTTTTGTTTGTTTATCAATAATGTAATGATTTGTGCACACTCTCTGCAATACCTCTTCAGAGAGCCTAAACTGCTGGTAAGATTTCTTGGGCAATTACAGACGAATTCTGCTTACTTAACATTAATTTGGTACTTTGAGCAAATTAAAAATAATTATTTTTCCCCATAGCATCTTCTACATTAATATCTGCAGTCACTCTGGAATCTTAATGAGCTAAACTCGGGAAATTCTGTCCATTCTTGGCTAGAGGACTGCCTTCTCCTTCATGATACACATGCAATCATTTGGGAACAGTTTGCAAATCTAAAATTCCACCTCGCTTGAAGGGATTTACAGCCTCACATGACAAACTATACTGAACAATACTGAGGCCCTGTGAAAAATAAACAGAAAGAACACACTTATTTTCTAATACCAAGATGGAAATAGTAAGTCTTGAGGGCCGCCTGGAATTTGACCAAGGTTACCCAGCAAGGATCAAATCCTATTTGTCTTAGGCAGGCAGCCCTGCCGAAATCAAATAAGCCTACAGCACAGATCAGTATACTAAGGCTATAGTTTAACCTCTGAGGCATGCTATAAATCCTGTGCCACAAAATAGGTGCCATGGATTAATTTCTAATCCCAAATTATAACTCGTCATTGAAGAGCTGAAAACCCAATCTCCCTCACAGATTTACATAACAAGAACAGAACCATGCTGAGATTTAAGACTTTACTTACAAAATTTCTAATAAAATATTTTCCAGGATACTCCATTCAGGGACAAATAAATCACACTGAAGTAACAAACCATATACTATGACACACCACCTTTTTTTTTTTTTAAATCTGCCTGCATATCTAGTCATTAATTTACCCGATAAATTAATTCCACAAGTGGCTCTCCGAGTCATCAGTTTGAATTATCAAGTTTCTGCTGTATTTCCAAAACAATGCCAGGCATGCATGTGCGTAGGAGGGATGGGACAATGAAGCCAATAGGTGCAGCTGTGGCCTGGGAGGCAGAAGGTCTGTTCAAACTCTGCCACTGACTGCTTTTTGACATTGGGAAGTCATTTCAGGGCTGTTTAATTAATTACATCTTTCTAGCATGTAACATTTTAGCAACGAAGTCACTCCTCAAACATTTGGAAGGCAGAAACAAGCCTTTATGAACTTTATGAAATCTTATTTTCTGCTGAAAAATCAGCAACATCGGGGGAAAGGGGTGTGTGCAGCCAGTCTGTTTGGATTTCTGGCCTTTGTATCTTCCCCTCGTGTAAAACAGAAAAAAAAAAAAATATCGACCTTCACAATGCATCTTTATGCAAGTACAGGTGAAAGACCACCTCTGTAAATTCAGATGATCCAATGGGCTGACTGGTATCTCATACATCTGGTACTGCTGCTGCACTGGATCTGAACTGTTCTTCACTTTAATATGAATGCTGGCAACCCTGATTTTAAACCAGAGGGCTTAGGTTGCATTCCTAATGTTACATCACAGTAAGACCAAACATTAAATCCTCAGCCAGAAGGATTTTTCTTGTATTTTACTTCTGCACTACCACAACAAACAGGATACAGTTTAAGACTCATAAACCATTTCATTTTGGAAGACACAAGGCATTCATATCTTTAACAACTGACTAGTCACAGATTCTACATGCTATCAGAAAGTTTTCTTCTCCTAGAAATGAGGATTTTTTAAAAACACCTACAGATTAAATGATGAGATTTAAAATAATGCTAAAATTTTCTGTAATGTTCTTCCTGCATTACAAATGGACTATTAAATCAGTGAAGTGCCAATCAAATGCTTTTGTACTTTGAAAGAAAGGTTTAAATAACAAAAGCAGTTTTTCAGGCCTCTCTCTCCCTCGGTAGTCAGTGTCACCTATGCACTAATTACAACATATTTACTCGCTTTTCTAGTAAGATCACGATTGAATAGATTTTTTTTTAAAGAACATGATTTTTAAGAAAAGTTGCAATCAGAGCCTCGTGGATTCTGCCTCTTATTAATCCAACTTGTCTAAGAAAAATATAATGTTGTGCAGTAAACTTCAAGATATATGACAGGATTGAATAATAACAGCTCTGGATTCAGTTTCCAGCTTTAAAAATCAACTCGCTGCATGACCTCGGGTGAACCATTAATTAACTAGGGCCAAATCCTCTGTGGACTAAACACAATGGAACTAGCCAGTTTGTACAAGCCAAAGATCTGGCCCCAAGTTTCCAGAAGTTTTGAATCAGGCTGGCCAAATACTGGAATTTTTGTGCTGTGAAAAAATATTTAGTTCTGTTTCAGAGTAAGAAGTAAAGCTCTCACGTCCTTTGTGGAATAAAAATTCCAAGCAATTCCTTTCAAAGGGGGGAAACAGGGGTGAAAAATGGGGAAAAAAAAAAAAGTGAAAAAAAAGTGGAAGTCTCTAAGGGGAAGATTTTATTAACTGTGCTTTCTCCTTGTAAGCAGAAAGTAGAATTGACAAAAGTCTGAAAGGCAGGTAGCCATGAACCATCACTTTAATTTTCCGGCCAGAATAATGTAACTTTTTTTCCCCAGTAAAACTGGAACTTTCTTGCAGAAAACTGCAACTTCACAAATACCACATTTTCCAGTGGGGAGGGAAGGATCCTCCCAGTCAGCTCTAATACTGTGTCCTCATTGCATCCTCTGAACAGCTGAAAGAGCTCTTGCCTCTGAGGGCTTTTTCTGTGTGTAAGAGAAGGACACAGTACTTTCCTATCACAGATTTATTTTTGTCTTGAGTTACCCTTTCTTGCAAAGCACCCCGAGACTCACAGATGCAAAATGGTTCTGCATTTCTACAGCCTCAGCCCCGTAAATTCCAAAAACATCATTTCTGTATGAGAGCACATCCCAGGCATTCAGAAAGACCCAGGAAGGCGCTCGGATTTCAGGACTGTGATCCAGTAGCTGTAGACAATAACAGCTTTTATGGAGATACTTTTTGCTTCTAAAATAATTACTCCGCTCAGAGAGCCGAGCTTCAGGCTCCGCACGTTAATTTGCTTCACTCGACAATTAGTCTTACTTTCTCACAATTTCCCATTTGCCACTCAGCACAGAGGGCTCCAAGGCGGACCAGGAGGGTTTTAACCTGAGAAGCACCGACTCGCTCGGCTACAAAAGGAGGCGAAGTCTGGGAACGCGACGGGCAGCGCGGCAGCCCGTTTCCTCCTCAACCTGCAAATCCATTTTTCTTTCCTGCGCTCCGAGCGCCAAAAGCCGAGCCCCCTCCCTGCTGACAGGGGCACGGAGAGCCGGGCACACGACGCTGTCCCTGGGCACAGGCAGCTGCCCGGCGCCGGGAGCGAGGACGAGGGGCCGCCGGCTGTGGCAGCGCTGTGGGACGCGCGGCGCGCTCGGGAGGGACCGCCCTGCCAGAGCCTCCGCAGGGAGAGCGGGCAGCAGCCCCGAGAGCCCTCGGGGGCGGCATCAAACACCGACCAAACCCCCCCAAAAAGCCGGGCAGCTGAGCTCTGCGGTGCGGGAGGGCGAGCAGCCCCTCCCCAGCCCGGGGGGCATCCCGGGCAGCAGCACCGCCGTTCTCCCCGGGGAGAATCCCGACCTGCCCTCTCAGAACCACGGGTTACAGGCTGGGCAAGGCTGGAAGGGGCCACACTGGGTCACCCGGCCCAACCTCTCTGCTCGAGCGGGGTCATCCCGGAGCACACTCCACGGGATTGTGTCCAGATGGTTCTTGGGCATCTCTTCCCTCCCCGACCCTCGCTCACAAACGAGCGCAGCCAACTTTTCCCAGCGGCGCGGCTGGAGAAGGAGGAGGAGGAGGAGCAGCGCGGGGGGGGACAAGCGGGGGGAATGTCTGTGCCAAGTCTCCCTCTCCGGCCGCGCGCACCCTCAGGGGAGTGGCCCCGCCGGATCCCAAACTTTTTCGGGACGGCGAAAAAACTCCGGGAGGCGAGAGGTGCGAGCCGTCCCCCCTCCAGGACTGCCGGCTCCGCTCCCGCCGGGAATACGAGCTCTCTCTCCCCGCCGGGACGCGGGAGCCCCTCGCCCCCCCCACCGCCCCTCACCCGCCCGCCCCGCCCCCGGTGGGCGGAGCACGCCCGGGCCCCGCCCCGGCCGCGCGCTGACCCCGGAAGCGCCGGTACCTCTCTCATCTTCCCCTGCCCCGCGCTGGGCGCCGCCGGCTCGCGGCACTTTCAGAGGCGGCCGCCGCCGCCTCGCAGGGCCCCCTCATTGGCCCCCGGCCCCCCCGCCCCGCCGGCCCGCACCCATTGGTTCGTAGGGCCGCTACTCAAGGCGGGCCCCGCCTCCCGCCGCCGTCTGAGCCCGCCCCCCTCCTCGCGACTCTCGGCTAGTTCTCGATAGGCGAAGCCGGTCCGCTATGCGCCCCTCCTATTGGTAGAAGCAAACGTCGGTCAAACGGGCGGCGCCTCTCATTGGCCGGATTTTAGAACGCTAGGGGGCCGTCTCCGCCGTTCGGGAGCGCTGACTGGCTGGGCGGAGGTGTCAGTCGTGCCGGCACTCGGGTCCCGATTGGCCGCCGGGGGCCAGGCAGCAGGTTAGGTTGCGCCCCCCCCGCCACGCCCCCCCCCCGCCTTCTACGCATTTCTATTTCCCGCTTTATTTATTTATTTTCCTCCATAAACTTAAATGACCCCGGGGGGGGCGGGGCCGGGGCAGGGCCCTCCCGGGTGGGAAGACCAATGGCAGAGCGACAGCGGGGCGGGGCCGGCGGCGGCGCGGGCCAACGGCAGCGCGGCAGACGGGCCGCGCTCGGCCAATGGGGCGGTGCTTCCGCCCCCGCCCGGAGCTCGCGGCGGCGCCGGAGGGGCCGGGCCCGGGAGCGGGGAGCTGGGGCGGCCGGGGTGTCCCGGGGCGGGAGGAAGGGACGCGGGATCGTTTCCTTCCTCGCACGCAGCAGCCCGTGTGAGGCGCTCACCCCGGGACGAGAGGGGAAGGCGTTTTCCCAGGAGCGCTTCTCCCGTCCCTGCTGTGGGCCAGGGCTCCCTGGCCTGGGCGCTGCGGGGCTCTGTCCGTAGGGCTGGGGCAGAGAGCCCCTCAGGCAGAGCCGACAGGTGTTCCGGCAGCCAAGAGGCCTTTGTAGGTGCTGGGCGTGCGGCCAGGTCCGGAGCGAGCAGCACCAGGAGCGTTCTCCGAGCTCCAAAGCGCTGGGGCCTCCAGGAGGGCCCGGAGGGCAGTGGGCTGTGTCAGTCTCCCTCCTTTCCCCTTAAAGGGAAGGCCCAGGCCTTCCTTTGTTGTTACACCGTTACTGCTTTTATAGAGCTTTTGACTGTTCTCAACATCTCTTCGGGGTTTTTCGGGTTTTGCTGGTGTTTGTGATTGTAGTGCTTGCTGCTTGCACTGTTTTTTCAGAGCTCTGCCCATCTGACCTACCTTCCCCTTTCTGCATGCTTCCTTCTCGTGTCCGATCAAATTAAACACACTTTATCTAGACTATCCGCTTACTATCCTTCCTTCCTGTGCACTAGGTTAGTTGAGATTTGGTGGTAATCATTCCTCTGAAGAACGCTGAGCTTCCTACTTGCCTTTTTCTCCTGCCATACTATTCCTATATGATTGAGCATAACACTTCTCCAATTTCCTCATCCTAGTGATTGGTTATGTTTGTTTTTCTCTGTCATTCTGTTAGCGTGGACCACCCAATGTAAAGTTACCACCCTTACCCAAGTTTCTTCCCATGTTCCCATTACAAGTGTTCATATGTGTCTGTTAGAGCCATGCAGGGAAGCGCTCCCATTCCAGATGGTTTCTCCATCTTCCTTGCCAAAGTTTGTCACCGGTGTTCCAGGAATCGTTCCTTGTTGTGGTCTTCCTGCACAACCACGTGTCCCATTGACATGAGCTTGGGTGGTTCCACTCCCTGTTTGGAGAAAACTCCTCTGTCCCATGAGTTGGGCTTTGTGGGAGGTCCTTGCCAGGACAGGGCCTGGCTTCTTTTCCTCTCATCATTCTCAGGGGCTTCTCTTGAAGCAGCACTCACTCCCTTCACACATTCAATTTCAGAACCGGCGTGTAAAAAACAAGGCCATCTCTCTTCCTCCCCCATTACTTCCCTGAACAAGGCATTACCTTTATATTTTTATTCCACTTACATGGGTTATCTCATCTGGTACTAGAAGAAGGTAAAGACCCCCATCAGACTCCGGTCAGCATTGTAGTGAAGCACTAGGATTTTAACCATGGGCATATTCTGACTGTATAGCTGCTTCAACATAAGCAGATGTTGAGGTTCCGTGTCGAATCAAAGTTTTAATTTCCTTCTCATTTCTTGTGGCCTGTTCTGCATTTTTAAGATGAGACAGAGTGTGAAATAAAATACTCAGAAAAATAATTTCTCTAGGGCATATTCTATTTGATAATGTCATACCTGGAACTTCATCTGGGCTGTCAAAGCAATGTCGCGTGACAGTAAAGCTGAGCATACTTCATATACATAAAATCTTTCACAGTTTGTAGCTAAGTATCAAGAATGAGCTGAAGGCTCCTGTAGCCGAGCTATTCCACTGAGTGAGAAATGATGTGACCATTAGGGAGCAGATACCTCCCAGCTAGTGACTCCAGGTAACACCGTGTGCAGGTGGCAATTAATTAATACATGGATGTGCGTTTATGAGGCGTGCCGTGGAGGGACAGGGCACTGATTTCAGAGAGATGTGGAAGAGGAGGTTCTTCTCCTTGAACACCGTTTATTGTCCCCCATGGCTCGTAAGGCCATATTTCTGGTGAAAATGCAGTTGTATCAGCGATGCCAGCAAGTTAGCAGTGATTTCCTCACACAAGAGGGAGCAGCATTTCCAGTGGTGATGTGGGTCTGCTTCTTTTGAAGCAGATGTCATCATTAACAATTGTAGGATAGCGAGCATGCTCTTAAAATTTATGGCTAAAAATCATGCTCAGATATGTTACAAACCTCTCAGAAGCTGTGATGAGAACCAGTTGTGTTACTTTCAGGAAGCGATCTAACCAACAACTTGGTATTTAATAGAATTGCTTAGCATGATAGAGAAATAGAAATCAACTGCAGAAGAACTATAGTTAAGAAATTTCCTCCTTGAGGAGGCAAAAAGATGACATAAGAGGTCTAGAGAGGTCAGGATAAATCACAAGTGAAATAAAAAGCAAAGGAGAAGAGGGCAAATCTCATTCTAGGGTATCCAAACACAAGTGTCATCCCAAAACTACGCCCGGGGAGAAATAGTTCTATACCCAGGGCCAAGGAGGCCTCAGCTGAAATACTTTTTGGTTTCATACACTGCATTTAAAGAGGTTATAGAGATCAGAGACTAAAATCTTTGAAGTGGCAATTGTAAGGGTCTTAGAAAACATGGCCTACAAAAGAAGAACAAAGGAACTAGATTTGTTTAGTCTAGAAAAGGGAAGAATGAGGGGAACAGTACAAAAGTTCTAGGAGTAAACTTCTGTGGGTTCAGCAGTGTAATAGTCTTTGAAGCCATATGATCCCTGATGGTGGATGCTTTTAAAATTACAACAGATTGGGGTCAACTGCCCTCTGGGCAGTTGCCCAAGGCAGCAAAGCAGGAAGATCCTGAGTGGCATGCTGCTTTGCTGGGGCAGGCTGGGAACTGCAACACTGGAAAGAGAGCATCTGCAAGAAACAACCCAAACTTCCCCAGGGCTTCCTGCTCCTCCTGAAGACATGATAGCACCAGTCAGCTCCATGGTAGCATGTCACCTCTCTAAGCTTCTGCTTAGCTTTTTCTTGGATTTCGTGGCAAATCCAAGATTTCAAATACAGTCAGGACAACACTCTGGGAGGCTACCATGCACTGGGTGTCAGATGCTGTCGAGTGCTGTCTATGTTTGTCCCTACAAGACCTTTCAGGTCTGTCCTAGCATTACATTCTTGTGAGCAGGGGTTTGACTAGAAGAGCACCATAACAAAAGGCCACTCTGTAGATACACATTTTTGTGCTGCCTGAGCTCAGATCGCATAGGGAACAATTCCTTTCACACCAATAGAGTTGCAAGCAAATGCCTTTATTGGTGAAGTAAGATTGGACTCTTGTAAACAGCAACATTAAAATGTGTTGTGTTTTTGCGGTAGCTTTATGCGTGTGAATATCAAATTCCATATGGATGCTTACAGAATTCAAGTTTTGGGGATGAATACCCTATCTTAATTGGCAGGAATGAAGAAATAGTCCCTCATCAGGCAGAGCTCATATTGAAAGCATAAAAAGTCTAATTTATTGCATATTTTCAATATGACTTCATTTTTGAGCATTTTGTGACAATCTGACCTAATATTGCACTGATTCAGACAATAGAGCTGTTCTATTGTACTTTAATGACTGCAAATGTAATTTGCTTCCTGTTTAATATTTAAGCCAGCAATAATACCAAAAAGGCTTATTGCTCCTAAGAAAAGATGAAAGGGGCATAACTCTTAAGGTTTTTTTTGTCTTCACAATTTGACCTACTTTAAAAACACTAGAAACTCATGGGAATGGTCCTCAGAATTAAAAATACCAATATAAGATTGTTGCCTGGGAATTTTAAGATACATCACTTCCAGCTCACAGAAAAGCAGAATTTCCTTCCCAAGGGAAATCCAGATAATTCAAAATTAATTTTTGTCCCAAAATACTGAATTAACAGAGTTTTTCCACAGAAAAATGAAGTTCGAAAAGAAAAAAAAAATATTCTAGACTTCAGAAATATTTGCGTTTGATGACTGTCTTGAAATTTTTCAGTCTGGCTTAGCTGAAGAGCCATCTGTGCCTGTTCCAGCTGCCCCTAGTAACTCTCACAAGCTCTGTAGTCTTGCTTCATGGTGCTCCTTGGAGAGAACAGCTCTGTGGCCATTCCACCTTGCCCATACAGCTTTTCCATGGGGAGCAAGGAAGACAAGTTTTGGTGTAACATACAGGGAAGACAACTTGCAAAGGCTGATCTGAAGAGGGTAACAGGAAGGTCCATTATCTGAACTGCTACAAAAGTAAGGTATATGGTGGCTCAGACAGGAATGCAGAGCCATGGAAATAAGGCAGCTCAAATGTAGAACAGCACAACTAAAGCAAAACCTTCACATAGGGTGCAGTGGTGAATCTGCCCTACTGATTCCCTCAATAAAGGGTCATCTCTTTTTCATTTGGTATTAATGCACATCCCATTCTGCTTTTGGATGATTGTATTTGCTAGCTCTGCCAAGCCTTTCTTTGTCCCCTGTCCCCTCGCTTCCTCCTCCCTTTGGAGACTGCATTCCTCCTTGTTTGGTCTCTTATTAAGGCTGTCTCCATTTCAGGGCTCCATGAGCTGAGTCCCATACCTAGATGGAGAGGAAACCTGAGGTCCAAGGCTTCATGAAATTCCTAAGGGACAGA